TAATGATGGAAGTGGGGCAGTTAGTAGCAGCTGGCTTCTCAATGCTGAATATGATTCATTTAGCCCAATTAGGAACTTCATAACAGCATCTGATTGCTGTGTATCAGATATGGTTCGAAGTATATCACATGTACAGCTGGAAAGCACTCCACAGTTACATTTTGGGAGTGGTCTGCAATTGATGTACTCATCCCAAGTAGCTTTGAATGAATTATAGTATGAGGTTAACGACTGTGATCCTTGGGAAATGGAGCTGAGGGATTTCTCCAAGTGATATACTCTAGGTCCATCACTACGAATATATCTATTCTTGAGTTCATTCCACACTTCACAGGCAGATGAAATATATAATAAACTTTGACGAATTTCTTTGTGGATTGAATTCAGCAACCAGGACAATACCAGATTGTTAGCACGTATCCAACAATTGTATAAAACACTACTTGTTGGACTTGGAGCTGGTAGGGAACCATCAATGAAAGCTGACTTATTTTTCACACTTAGTGCCATAGAGATTGAACGGCTCCAAGAATTGTAATTGTCCCCATTGAAGACCTCAGATACAATTAAAGCTCCAGGATTGTCACTTGGATGCAAAAAGAAATGACTTGTTGGATCCTCAGCAGGATTAAAAAGTGAATTCGCCACTGCTCCCATAGTTTGATCTGCTCTGCCTCAGGAAGAAATGAGAACAGAATTTTATTTGGAGAAGAAGAAATTGCTCTCTGATACCATATTAGGAATATTGGGCCTAACTCCACCTAATAAAACCGGCTTATTAGGGGAGGATTGCCCTCTCCTTATAAAGTGGATCATTTATATTTTCCCAAACAATGTGGGATTCTAATAATCTTGTAAATTATTCTTTTATAGTGGATTAATATTTATTGACAAGCTTGCACGGAGGTTTTTACTTCTAAAGAGTTTTTCAAGAGGTTTTCCTTCATAAACAAATCGTGGTATTATTTACTTTCCATCTTGATAAATCTCAATGTTATTTACATTCTAGTCTTGATATGTTTGATTGACATCTAGAATTTAGATACGTGTTTTAATTCACCTAGGTTCATTAACTGTGACAGCTTGTTGCAATTAATTGGTTGACTAATTTTAATTTGAAACATTACACCTATTAACCCCTTCTAGGTCTAACTTCATTATTTCACTTGGAATTGCCATTTTGATGATTATTTTAATATAATCCCATGAAATCAAACTATCAGAATCTGCACCAAACTGATGCTTGGAGTCTCATAATTATTGAAACTATACTGGCTTTCTCTTGTTATAGAACTTCTTTTATAATCCTTTTATGTTATCATGCGTGCCAAATATA